TACTACTACTACTACTACTACTACTACTACTACTACTACTACTACTACTACTAGAGTCAAACTCAATAGTTGGGTTCCTTTTTAAATTCCAATGTCATGTTTCATTGATTCATTCCATTAACATATTTTCTTTTTCCAGCTAAGAAAGACGGGCTGGATCACAGAATTATTACATGCATTGTCTGGCACATTTTAAGATGATTGTGGATTTATAAAAGCATGAAAGCAAAGTTTTTGTCCACCTCCTCCTGTGACCTTTTAAGCAGGGTCCGCTATTTACTTTTCTTTGACAACCCACAGTAAACGAACAGAAGAACAAGGAAAACTTAAACTTGGGTTTGATTCTGGAGATTGTTCTTCTGGGTCTATTGTTCGGAGCAGAACGTGAACACAGAGTGGGCCCACTGACTGACATTATGTGATGAGGGTTGTAAAATGAACCACATAGACGGACTTTTTGAGAAACCCTTCCTTCGGTTCACAATCGAAGAGAAACTAGAAATTAAAAGATTAGGACCCCATCAACTACCATCCTTTATCCTGTGCCAACACACTGGCTGTAGAAAACGTTCCTTCTGTAGTCGTTATTGTTTCAACAGTTTGAATGATTGACTTTGACCCTTGCCAAAGAAAGACATTTCTGTTTTTATTGCTTATCTTTTGCTCGTGACTCCGATTTGCTCTTCAACATTTTGTCAATCGTGAAAAGCGGCACGAAAGTAGCCCAAACCATAATTTCAGCTGCAGTGTTCGGCATTCCACGCTTGGACAACGTTCAATTCTAGAACAGCTAGATGCGGCTTATGCTGCATGTGTAAGAAAACACAACGAACATGTTGACAACAATTGGCACATTTCGTTTTTCTTCACATTCCGAAAAGGTTGAGATGAAGTTCGGGGCGTGTGCTCAAATTCTCTTTCTCGTCCAAAGAGACAAGATGGGACTTTCAAACGCGTGTCATCGAGAGCATGAAAGATAACCAAACAGAAATCCGTTCATATCTCTAAAACATTCAACAAAAGGAAGGCTGGGATGACACCACTGTGAGGCAGACTTTGGACTCTAATCCTAGTTGGAAGAAACCTCATTTGCATACCTTTTGAACTCTTTCGATGAAGTGTACAAGCACGTGGACGTCCTCTATTCAACATTTCAGAACCGACTCACAACTGGACTTGATGCTTCTAGTTCTGTGGATGACTTCATCACAACAATCCACCGTTTGAGACAGGATTTGGAGGATGCCCCTGCTGAAACTGAGAGAAGACGGAATCGTTGGTATGTTGGGTAATGTCTATGTCAAGAGTTGCCTGTTATGAATTTCTTGCTTTTCTGGCTGCCTCTGCTTTACAAACTCTGTTTTTCAACAAAAAAAAAGCGTTCTTGCCAAATGTCACCGCTTTAAGATACTGTTGAGGTCATATTGGCACTTACCTTTCTGCAAATCGCCTGGCCTGCTGCTACTCCAAGATGATGTGAAGGAAAATGCTTAAATTCAAAAGAAACTTAACGTAATGCTTGAAATCCAGCAGACTGTTTTGTGTAACCCTACTTCTCGTCTAACTCGCTACCTCAGATATACAAAGTTCTGTCTGGCATTTTTTGGCCGTTCTGAGTTACTAAGACCATGAGCTCAGAAGCCAAACATTCTTTCTGCTCTTTCAAAATCGTAGAATTATTGTCGTTGTCAAGATATCCAAATAATTGGGTCCGAAAAAGCTTGACATGTGAAGCTAAAACTAAAAATGTTTGACGTCAAATACTTCAAAACTAGGAACTGAGCTTTGTAACTCTGTGGTAGCAAACTGTCTTAGGCTCAGATTTCTATGTATTTATCAACGGGTAACAACATTTGTACATTTGTATGCTAATGTTATTTTCTGTGGACATCTGGTTGAGGCTTTTGATCGGAACCTGCTAGACCTAATACGTGCAGCAGGGGAGCTAACATAGGGGTAGGGACGGAAACAGGGGTGGCCATAACCCCATATTATGGGAAAGAGAGACCTCAACTAGATCAATATATACAGATCTTTAGATTGTGTGTTTATGTGTGTGTATGTGTGTGTGTGTGTGTGTGTGTGTGTGTGTGT